ATTTGAATGAAAAGAAACGCAATTCTTCAAACTGCAATAAGTTGCAATTTGGTACACGTACGGCCAGTGCCGGTTTTAGCACTACCAGCGCCCTGGGCGAGATTTCTACGGCGCCCCCTAACTGCAAATCAAACCCATACGAAAAAAAACCGGCCAAATGCGAATCGGCGCCCTTTAAAGTCCGGCTCTCCTGGACGGTCGCCCAACCGCGCGTTACCCTAATGCCGGTACTGCGAACGGCTGTTCTTTGAGGTCGAATTGACACCTAAAACAAACAATAATAAAGACTTTGAAACAAAAAATTGCAAACAACAAATGTGATAAGTGATATAAAAATAAACTATAAACTTTATTGGGGAATGTTTAATTTATTGACACAATCATTCATAAAAATAGTTTTATATAATAATTGTCGATAAAATTAATTAATTCTTTGATTGGTATCACTTACTCAGAATTCCCTGCGCCTGCTTAAGTCCGAGCGGCTGATGTGAAACCAACTACAAGTTGTTTTTTAAATATTTTGACTAGAATATGCCAATTTTCATCAACGTGTCGCTGGGAGTAGTGTCATGCATGGAGAAAGTAGGCGGTGAATCATCCAAAGGCCGGAATGCATACGTTATTGAATTGTTTTGTCAAAATAAGAGAAAGTTACGGTTTGCACGCCAGCAGGAAAATCATTTTTGAAAAGCTGCAGTAGTATGCATTCCCATTGTCACTTAAATTATTTGCGGAATTATAACGAATGCTGAGTAGAATCCATATTTTCCTAATGAATAAAATGTGTTTGATTAATTGTTAGGATATAAACAATGACATGCAAAAAATACCAAAAAGAAACGAAAACTACCAGGCAACAGGATTCTCAGTTGGATCAACCAAGGCTCTCAGACGAAAATAACACGTTGTTTTCAGTCACTGGTCGACGTCAGCGATACGCGATAACGAGAAGATGAACGTTATATTTAATTCACAATCCATACTCCCCTTAGGATATATTTTGCAATCCACTAGTTAACAAAACTGTCTATTTTTACTTTGTAATATTTTAAGTTTGATTTAATAAAATATTAAATTGGTTTACAAAGGGTACATGCCACTCTACTTTGTGGGTAGATTTCAATCGTTTACAACTTGTGAACCGCGTTTCTGTGGGTTCTGCCAGCAGGACGAGAACTAACGTCTTATCGAGAATACT